GCGGTAAGTAGTAAAGAGAACTTTAAGAGGAATAGCAGCTATAGAGAGCAGTCACCACTCCTATGGCTGAGATAGAGCATCCAAGGAATGAGTTCCACAGGGCTGAGACCCAGACCTTGTTGGTAAAAAGCATGATTGTGGCTCACTGGCAGAAAAATTGCTGTGGTTCTACACTGGAAGAACTTGCTAAAAATATGTCCTCTAGTTTGCCAGGGAAAACTATTCATCAGGAGCTATCGCCAGAGGTTCTTCACCATGAAACTACCAAAGGGAATAGTTGGATGAAGCTGTTGTCTGCTGGGTGATGCTGATTGCCATGCACTGGAGGAGGCTGGTGCTGGGCTTACTCACAGAGCTTTCTGGGAGGTCAGGAATTGGAGTCAGGAAGGAAAATCCCTATATCCCGCAATATCCCTCCAGTACATTCTATTGACCATAACATGATACCAGCTTAACATGATGCCAGCTGGCAAAGAAAAAATATTTAAATAACTTCTCTCTACCTTTACCTGGCCTCAAGTGATCCTCCCACCTGGACCTCTCAAACTGCTGGGATTACAGGCATGAACCACTGTGCCTGGCCAAACTTAAGCTATCTCACAAAACTCCTGTATAGGGGTATACAGGAGCAGAGCAGGAGGACAAATTTGTACCTGAGAGACAATAAATTGATAGCTGGCATATTGAGGGTCTTCTGATAACACCTGTCTCTAAAAATTTCACCCCCAGTCTTGATGAGTGAAATTTTGCTAGGTGTACAATTTATTTTTTTCTCAGCATATGAAGACTTCCTTCCATTGTCTTTAGGTTGTTATTTGTCTTTTTTTCCTGGTTCTTTTAAAGACAACTTCCTTGCCTTTGCTGTTTTGCAGATTTACTGTGATATGTCTAAGGATGGATTTTTTTTTTTTTTTTTTTTTTTTTTTTTTTTAGATGGAGTGTCACTCTGTTGCCCAGGCTGGAGTGCAGTGGGCACAGTCTTGGCTCACTGCAACCTTTATCTCCTGGATTTAAGTGACTCTCATGCCTTAGCCTCCAGAGTAGCTGAAATTACAGGTGTATGCCACCACGCCTGGTTAATTTTTTGGTATTTTTAGTAGAGACGGGGTTTCACCATGTTGGTCAGGCTAGTCTCGAATTCCTGACCTCAGATGATCCACTTGCCCTGGCCTCCGAAAGTCCTGAGATTACAGGTGGGAGCCACAGCACCCGGCCCTTGTCTAGGGAATTTTTTTTTTTTTTTTTTTTTTTGAGACAGAGTTTTGCTCTTGTTGCCCAGGCTGGAGTACAATGGCGCGATCTCTGCTCCCCTTCCTGGGTTCAACCGATTTTCCTGCCTCAGCCTCCCAAGTAGCTGGGATTACAGGCATATGGCACCATGCCTGGCTAAGTTTGTATTTTTAGTAGAGACAGGTTTCTCCATGTTGGTGAGAGCGGTCTCCAATTCCCGACCTCAGGTAATCTGCCCACCTTGGCCTCCCAAAGTGCTGGGATTACAGGCATGAGCTACTGCGCCCAGCCTAGGGATGGATTTTTTAAAAAATTATTCTGCCTGGAATTCACTTAATCTGAAGATTAATGTCTTTTTAGTGTCAGAAAAATCTCAACCATTCATTTTTCCAATATTTCTCCTCTACATCTCTCTCTTCCTCTTTTGAAACTTTGGTTAGATATAAGTTAGACCTTCTCACTGTAGTCTCAATGTCTCTTGACCTCTCTTTCATACTTGCAAAAATATGTTTTAATTCTATGTTGCATTTTTGGGTATTTACCTTGGAGTTGACAAAATCTCTCTCTTTAGGTATATCTAATAAGGTTACCTCCATTCATTGGCTTTTGATTTCAACTATTAGATTTTTTGTTTGTAGATGGTATCTTTGATTCTTTTTTCAAATTTCTTTGGTCATGTTTATAGTTTACTATTGATTTCTCATTTTTGTTGCTAAACATATCAAACATTTTATATTTTATGTCAGATAATTCTAATATCTGAAGTCTTTATGGGTACGATGAGGCTGGTGCTATTTCTGCTGGCTTTTGCTCACGGTATCATGTTTCCTTGTGTGTTAGGCTTTTTTGAGTATAAACACACATCTTTTTTAATTTTATAGGAATTATTTGAGGCCTGAGTTGGAAATGAGTTTCTCTAGAAATAATTTGTGTTTGTTTCCAGTAGCCTCCTGGGGCACTACTAAACTGGAACCATTTCGAGCTTAAGGTTTTATGGACAATCTGGGTAATATCAGTTTGAGCTTCAAATCCCCACTATGGCCTGAGTTTGTAGTTGCAATTCTCAGATATTTTTGTTCTGTCCACCTAGCAGCCGGGTTCTGAGGTAGTCAACTTTCTTTGCTCTTCCGTCTTGTGGGAGGGTGGGCTGTTGTTTCAACTTCAGCCTTACATTGAGAATATAGCACTTTGAGTTCCTAGCTTTATGCACGGGTGGTGGTTCTCCTATTAGACTTCCCACTTTAGATGGGCCATAGTCTGTGTCTCTTGTTTTCTATAAACTGCTAGGTCGTGAATCCTGAAGCTCATAGTCATCTGAGTTTGGCAAATGCCCTCAAAGGAAAGCTGATTTCAACATTCTCTCTAGGCTTTCTACCTTTACTTAGTTTTTGGCCTCTGAAAATTGTTTACTTTCTTCTTAACTCAATTTTTTCCCATACTTTAGGGTAGTTGGAGGGTTTGTCAGAATACCTACTTTGCTATGTACCAGAAATAGTAGTTTGATCTAGTCTACATATAATGCCACATTTAGTTCTCATGATAATCTTGGGATTATTAACTCAATCATTTGTCCCAGGAAATGGAGACTTATAGAAGTTACATAGCTAGCAAATGGCAGAGCAGTAGTGGAACTTAAATCTACCTCTTCTGGCTCCACTTCACCCTTCGTTCTCTCTACCACACTACTCTGGTTCCTTGGTTTTTCTGTCTTTATTTAATGCAAATTCCAGGACTCCTCGGGATTTGGGCTATTCCTAAAGCCCAGAAGTGCATTAAGAATTCTAGAGGCTGGCCGGGCACCGTGGCTCACACCTGTAATCCCAGCATTTCAGGAGGCTGAGGTGGGAGGATTGCCTGAACACGGGAATTTGAAACCAGCTTGGGCAACATAGGGATACCTCGTCTCCAAAAAAGACAAAAACAAAAACAAACAAAAACAAAAAAAAAAAAGAAAAGAAAAGAAAAGAAAGAAAGAAAAGAAAATGAGGTGGGAGGATCACTTGAGCCCTGGGGGGTCAAGACTGCAATGAACCATGGTTGTACCACTGCATTCTCTTCTGGGTGACAGAGAAAGACCTTGCCTTAAACAAACAAACAAACAAACGAAAAAAGCATATGTTTGTTGCAGTACTATTCTCAATAGTAAAGACTTGGAACCGACCCATGGAATACTATGCAACCACAAAAAAGGATGAGTTCATGTCCTTTGCAGGGACATGGATGAAGCTGGAAACCATCATTCTCAGCAAACTAACACAGTAACCGAAAACCAAACATCACATGTTCTCACTCATAAGTGGGAGTTGAACTGTGAAAACACATGGACACAGGGAGGGGAACGTCACACACCAGGGCCTGTCAGGGGGTGAGGGACTAGGAGAGGGGTAGCATTAGGAGAAATACCTAATGTAGGTATTGATAGGTGCAGCAATCCACCATGACACATGTATACCTATGTAACAAACCTGCACGTTCTGCACAGAACTTAAAGTATAATTTACAAAAACAAAAACAAAAACAACAGCAACAAAAACAACAAAACAAACAAAGAAACAAACAAAACAGGAATTCTAGAAGAGTATTGCTTTAATTTTCCTCTCACTTGGGGACATAGTACAGCTTCTCCTGAGGATTCTATTCAAGTGGAAGATCCAGCTAAGACTGGCCAGACTGACTAAGTAGAGTGCCATGATTGTAGCCCATGTGTTCCTGGAGATCTGTAGGGAATTAGGGAGTGAAGTCTCATCTTCAGGCATTTTCTGCTTCATGTGGCATATAGAATGTGCTTGTACTTGTAGAGTCCCTTTGGGAATAATGTACTCTCTAGGAGCAGTCCCCCTCTCTGTCAAGGCTTCTCTTTCTTTCTTTCTTTCTTTCTTTCTTTCTTTCTTTCTTTCTTTCTTTCTTTCTTTCTTTCTTTCTTTCTTTCTTTCTTCTTTCTTTCTTTCTCTTTCTTCTTTCTTCTTTCTCTCTTTCTCCCTTTCTCCCTTTCTCCCTTTCTCCCTTTCTCCCTTTCTCCCTTTCTCCCTTTCTCCCTTTCTCCCTTTCTTTTTCTTTCTTATGTAGTCCTCCCTGCCCTGTCTCTTACCAGAGACTTCAGGATAAACTTCAGGGATTGAGTGCTGGTGTCAAATAAACTTCAACATGGGAAACATTAGAGGAATACATTCTGCACTTCTTCCAGACTTGGAAAGAACTGGGGCCAATTAAAAGTGAACTTTTAAGAGAAATGAACATCTTGCCTGCCAGGTTTCAGCTGAATGTCACTGCAATTGCCTAAATTATAACTATCAGAAAAAATTCATTCTAATTATGGAAATGCCATTAGGAGGAGTTCCTTCTGCCTGGAACCAGCTTACAGGATGATTACCATCCACCCCCTACCTCTACCCCATCTCTCAACAGCAGTTCTATGTTTCAGAAGGAGAAAAGGCAATGTATTAGAGTGAAAAGAAAATTTATACCATACAGGATCTGGATTTGGATCCTAACTCATTATTTATTGGCTAAGTGACCTTGGGCAAAGCAATTTACTTCTCTCATCCTCAGTTTCCATATTTAAAATGAGGATATTAATATCCACTCCACGAGGTTGTTGTAAAGATTAAACAATAAGAGATGGCATATACTAAAGTATGCAGCACCTAGCCTGGCACGTATTGGATTGCTCACTGGAGTGGGTCAGGGTGGAGGGACAAGGATAATTGTTAGGAGACTGGGGAGAGAGCTCTGATACCACTCACTTAGATGCTACTCTTTGGTGCCTGCAGGGATGGATGGCAAACTCCATGCAGGAGGAGATGAAGACAAAGACCTGGATCTTCCCATGGAATCTTGGGGCTTTCTCCTTCTTCCTCCTGAAAGATTTCCATTTCATGATCTTGGTAATATCTGTTAATAGTTGGACTTCATGAGGGGTAGCAGTGTTTCTCTGCTATTGCAGAGTATCCTATGCCCCATAGTTTGGATCAATCTTTTCCAACAGGTGGACCTTGGACCCTGATAATTGGGAAATGAGAATTTATTGCAAAGAGTTCCATGGATCCGTACACTCAGCAAGCATTGCCTATAAACGAGTATATTTTGAAATTATATATTCACTTTTATTTCAAATGTATATAGATGCTCTTTTGAACAAGAAAATACTTAAGACTAGTAGTTGCTTCAGGGATGTATTTTGGAATTCTGTTTTCTCAGTCAACGAATACTAAAAGCACAACTACTTGTGTGATCGTGGGCCTGAGAATGTTTTGTATTTCATGTGAAAGGTTATAAATGCCCAGGGGTCTGATGAAGGACTTACATTTTGGTGAGCTAACATCCCTCTCTGCTCTCTGTGCTCTTCCATTTCCTCAACCTACCAGGCAGGTGTTGAGGAAGGTGACATTACTACATGCCAAGAGGCATCTTTCTGAAAGACACCTAAGTCCCAGCTATGCTACTAGCTGTTTATCTGCACCCATGGAGGGCTCATTAGCTGGGTTTTAAGTGCTTGGGCCATTATTTGTAATCTTTTCTCCCTACTCCCTTTGTGGGCTCCTAGGGTATTTTATTTGCCCCCAGGGTTCTGAAATTTCCCTTCTATGTATGCTTTAGAATGATTGACTGTATTAGTCTGTTTTTGTGCCACAATAAAGGAATACCTGAGACTAGGTAATTTATAAAGGAAAGAGGTTTAATTGGCTCATGGTTCTGCAGGCTGTACAGGAAGCATGGCACTGGCATCTGCTTAGCTTCTGGTGAGGCCTCGGGGAGCTTTTAGTCATGGTGGAAGATGAAGTAGGAGTATGTCACATGATGAGCACGAGAGCAAGAAAGAGAGAAGGGGTTAGCAACACACAACAGACTAAGAAAAAAATAATTAAAAAGAGAAAGAGAGAGAGACAGAAGGGGGAGCTCCCAGTCTCCCTTAAACAACCAGATGTCATGTGGACTGAGAGAGAACTCATCACCAAGGGGATGGTGTGCTAAACTATCCGCCCCCATGATCCAATCATCTCCCACCAGGCTCTACCTTCAACTCTGGGAATCACATTTCAACAAAGGATTTGGAAGGAACAAACATCCAAACCATATGAGTGACTACTTTTATCCACTAAGCTGGGTACTCAATAGGCCTTTTCATTCTAGAAACCCATGTCCTTCAGCTCCAGAATATTTTCTTGAACTTATTTTTAGTGTTTCTCTCTCTACCATTTTATCCTTTCTATGTCTAGAATTCCTATTTTTCAGTGACTGGATTGTCTGAGTTGATCTTTTATGTTTTTAAATCTTTTCTCTCCCTCATTTTCCATCTCCTTATCTGTTTGCTGTGCTTTCTGGATCATCTATTTTATTTTATCTTCCAGTTTTTGTATTGAATCTTTGATTTCTGCTCACAGGTTTCTGTTACTTTCTATGAGTGCTTTTTTTGTGTTGTCTTCTGAATATTGCTTTTTAATAGTATGCTGTTCTAATTTAATGAATTCAAAATCTTTAGATACTTCCCTAGGGTTAATAGCAATAGATATTTTGATGTTTTTTCCCTGTATAGTCTCTGTTTTTCCCAAATTGCTTTTCCCCATCTGCTTTCGTCTGTCTCTAGGCTACAGGGCAATCCTCACACGTTTGGGGAGCCTCATCTGTGTGTTTATGGTTGGGATTCACCAACCCTAGGCCTCAGTGTAGGATATTTTTGCTGTGCTGCCATCCAGTACAATAGCCACTAGCCACATGGGGCTATTGAGTGCTTGAAATGTGGCCAGTGCAGCTAAGGAACTAAACTTTAAAATTTTTAAATTTTTATGTTTTGATTCCTTCTTTTGATCCATCCTACTTTTGTGTCCTCATGGTTTCCTGAGAGGAAGGTTGTGTCTGGCTCTGCCAGTGAGAGCCCCAGACCATTTCCAGCCTCTCCCCAGGATAAGCTCTCTTCTAGGCTGCAGACCTGATTCTGTTCCTTTCTCTTTAAAATCCTTCACCAGCTTTCAACATGTAAATAAAACACTCAAGCTCCTTAGCATGACAAAGATTCCCTATGGGGCTATCCCTTTGTACCTCCCTACTGTATCTGCTACTACTCTCCTCTCCAAATTCCATCTTCCATCATTCCAGGGACAGAGCAGCTCACCTTCAAGCTACCATTGACGCCTGTGCTTTGCCCGTGCCGTTCCCTCCACTTCCCATCTTCTCCGCTGGTCTAACTTCCCATCTAGCCTGAGCCTGGGTGTCCTGCCCACAATAGCAAGAGTGGCCAGTACATACAGCTTGTGACAGGCACTCTTCTGGACCCTTCTACATACTTCAGTTCACTGCTGCTGTCCTCATCCTCATTTTGTATGTGAAGGAACAGAGGCACAGAGAGAGTCGATGACTCTCCCAAGTGAACCGACAAGTTGGAGTTTAAATCTAGAGTTGCTGGCTGTGTGTGTATGAAAGGTACCCTGAACTTTACCATACTATAGCGGCTGGCTCACCATTCTGTCACCCCCACGGCACTGGGAACTGTCTGAGGCTGGGGACCAGGTCTTTTTTTTTCTTCTTTTTAGAAATTTATATCATAAATGCCTAGCACAGGTCCTGGCATACAGTAGGTACTCAAAATATATTTGTTGAACAGACCTGCCATTCCCAATTGTCTAATTGTGGCCCCTCTCAACTTCTCTCCTGTGCGTGCTACAGTCTCGTAGGCAAGGTTTTCTGGCCAATTCCATTTTCATGGTAGTTACTCAGAAAATCATGATTGTCGGTTCCTGTAGGTATTGAAAGGGGAAAAGGACCCATCAAAAGACATGGTGAGCAGCTTCCCAAGCATTTACTTAAACATGTTTTGTGTGCTTTTAGAATGGTAGTCATATTATTATTGTATTATTATTTTAAGAAATCCACTGGTTTAAATCATCACAGAGGCTTAAATGATGTGGAAAATTCTAATGATGTTCCTTTGATGAAAAGATTTTTTCCTCATACTTAGCATAATCTTCCTTTGAATTATGCCAGGAAATCTTAAAACCGTAGCTTGGTTTTTTTTTTTTTTCTCTCAGTGCAATTTTCCTCTTTTTGGATGCATGTCAATGAACCATAGGAAGGAAGGAGCTTTTTCCATGCATAATGGGGAGGCTCTGCAAGAGGCAGCCTGAGTGCAGAAAGCCCCAAAGTTTGTGAGCTGGGGAGCTAGGGGTGCCTGGGAGAAAGCAAACTAGCCAGGGCACAGGCACAGCTTGGCAAAAGCTGTCCTGGCCTCAGAGCTTGGTTCTAGGGAGGACAGACCCTGGTACCACGAGGTTCGCCTGTAAGTGGTCCTATCCCAGGATATTGACGGAAGAATCAAGTCAGGATGGCTCTAGAGTTTTCATGTTGCAAGGCTTTAGGGGGCAACAACTTGGTTAAAACAAGATCAAAGCTGCTCTTGCAATACATATAGAACTAAGAAGAGTGTAATAGTTCATATCAAAGTTGGGGGGCAGTTGGCAGAGTGAAACTCTGATCATCCTATCTAAATAGCAACCCCCATTACTCCTTTCCTCTAGACTACATTTGTTTTTCTTCTTAGCCCTTCTGAACAATTGTGGAAGGGAGAAGACCTCTCACTACTCCCTTCCCTGGTGAGGCATGCCTGGTACTGTCACTAGCCGGATGGTGCTGCCCCAGGCATGGCAAGATAGGGTAGCACTTATAATCGTGGGCTCTGGAAGCAGGCAGATCTGAGTGCCAGTCCTGGTCCTGGCATATATTAGCTGTGTGACATGGGGGATTCTACTCTTGGCTTCTTGGTTTCCTCATTCACGAAGTGTGGATGGCCTCTTGGGGTTGTTTGGAGGATTAAATGAGATTCTAATGCATGTAAAACATTCAGCAGGGTGCTTGGTGGCATATGGTAAGCTCTTGTTATTAGTAATGTTTTGTTATTAACCGAATGAATGTTCCCTTCTAAGAGGATACCAGCAGGCCATGGGGAGCTCCAGGAAGTAAAATGGGCTCTGTGGGGAGTGGCTGCAGGAGCTCAGGGTTGGGCTCAGGTTTGGAGGGAGGATGGGATACTCAGCAAGTAAGACAGCCAGTTACAGGGCCAGGGTTGGAAGAGGAACTCCAGGGCTGTGGATGCAGAGGTCTGTGAACTGGGCTCAGAAAGAGCCTCAGAGCTGCATATGCCTTCCCAGGTTGGGACAAAGGAACTCACTTCCAGGCTGACGATGGGAGCTGACATTCCTGAGTTGCTCTGTGGTGGGATGGGGTTGGGGGATCTTGCAGTGTGGACCCACTCAGCAGTATACGCAGCACCAGGAAGCAGAGGCCATGATACTCTTGTAGCACCTTTTCCCCAGCCTGGCTGACTCTGCCTGCTGAGGGCCTCCGCCTGCTCCTCCAAGTGAGGGGTGTCTCCAAGTATGTGTAGTGAGGGGCAGTCATGGTGCCATGACTCCAACCATCAGGAGATAAGGGAAATGGAGTCTTCTCTTAGAGTTCAACCATAAAGTAGGTCAGATAGGATCAGATAGAGCTCAGCAGAGCCACCATGGAGCGGCAGTGAGATATGGAGACTGCAACCTCTGGAAAGAGGTGGGGACAGTCAGGCAGAAGCAGGGCTGGCCGGCTTCAGGAGCCCCCATCAAGGTGCTGCAAGGGCAGAGGTGGAGGCTTTGTGCAGGGAGAGTGGAGGGCGAGGCCTCAGTCTGCTCCTCTGAGCCTGTCTTTCTGGGCGATGAGGCATCAAGCCACTCCGGCCCAAGAAACCCAGTCCTTCCCCGTGACCCTGAGCTGGCTCCATGCTCCCCGACTGCCTGCTTCCTGATGGCTTTGTACGAAGCTATCTCCAGGAGGAAGGGACCTGCTCGGGCTCACATATCCAGGTGTCTTGGCACTGAGAGCCCTGGCGGCAAATGAACACGCTGGTGACTGGTTTAGA